TAGTGGTATTCGCTCAATTCTATTGATCATCTGTCTAAAAGCGGCTTTTGCGGTTTTTGTAATATTTGAGAAGCTCTAGCAAAGAAAGCTAGAGCTCTCGACTGCTGTCCCTGGCCCTTATGGTCACTTATAGTCGTTTATTAACAATAAAAAAAAAAAATACTGGAAAAATGTGCTACTGAAAATAAATTTTTTTTGCCAAAATCACTTTTTGCTGTTCAATAAATGACTATAAGTGACTTTGGGGTCAAGATACAGGGATGGTATTTTCAGGGACAGTCGTCGAGAGTTCTGGCTTTAATTTAAGCCTAAGTGAAAGATTCTATCGCTAGAGCTTCCCAAATATAACACTTTGAGTTAAAAAAAAAATACCATTATATGGTAAGTTGCCGCATTTGTGGACTTTCAGACCTCTCTTGTTCAGGGGTAGCGACATCCTAAAAGGAATAAGTGTCAAAATTTTCTGGCCAAGATTTCAATTGGTTGCTTAAATGCTTTTATAGTTTTGCACCACAGTGTAAAAATGAGTGCATATATATAAATATGCATACGCGAGTTTATAGGCAAAACAAACGCGTTTACTGTTGTCGTTCAAGTGATTTTTTTACTAATTAAATTGCGCCTCTCTGTCGCAACAACGAGCATTCTTTTGATGTCAAATGCATTTACAAATATGACATTAACATACAATAGTTAATATGACATTTGCGTAGAAACTTTGGTGATTGGGAAAAGTACTCCAGTAAATCTGAACACAAATATGTATGTATGTATTTATGTACATACACTGCCGGAACAAAGTATTGGCACGGCATATTTTTCACAATATATGCAAGAATTTTTATTCTAATATTTTTCCGCCAAATTTGTATAAAAATATGGTTCATTCAACAAAAGCAAAAACATAAAAATGTAATTCCTAAACTTTGTGCTAAACTGGCGAAAATTCAGCGAATTTTCATGCAAATTTTCAACTTTTTAATCAGAATTTTTAGAATTTTTCTGAGTATACAGTTTTGCAGCCCATTAAAATTGAATTTTGACAGTTTTTTTTGTTGAAGGTGTTTTGCATTTTTTCCATAAAATTATTTTAGAAAAAAAAATTTTTGTATGGAAGAAATGCGTGAAAAAAATTTTCAAAAATCAACGGTAATTCGTAGCTACTTAAAACTTATACTTTATTATAATAAAAATGATTGGGCTATAAATCTGCATACTCAAAATTTAAAAAAGTCTGATTAAAAAGTTGAAAATTTGCATGAAAACTTGCTGAATTTTCGCAAGTTTTGGACAAAGTTTAGGAATTATATTTTTATGTTTTTTTGTTGTAGAATGAACAAAAATTTTACACAAAATTGTCGGAAAAATATTGGAATACAATTTTTTGCATATATTGTGAAAAATTTGCTGTGCCAATACTTTGTTCCGGCAGTGTATGTACACATCTAGAGCTTACTGGATGAACGTCACAATCAAAAAAAAATAAAAATCGAGTAAACACGTTTTTATTTTGTGTAAAAAATTCATAATTCTACCCGTAAATTCTACCAACCTTTCTTACAACTTTGCCGATTTCCGTTTTTATTTATTTTTTTTCTTAATATTGTTTATTGTTGCTGAATGTGGAAGATCTAACGTATTGCGCAAAAGTTATTGTTTTTTGCTTTTACTTTCTACAAAATGCAATCAGCTGTAAGTTACCTTAAAATCCATCTCAAATCTACCTGAAAATGTAGGGCAAGTATGTTGTAGGGTTTGGAACCTCAACACTGCCAAATTTAGTGTACACAATACAAATTAATTTTCTTGATTGCTTTAATACTAGCACCTCAATACTTCTTTCTCTGTCTTTGATCAATTCGGCACTTTACGTTGTTTGCCGTTTATCAAGGTGGGTACACCATATCCGGTTGTCATTCAGCGTGCGCTTGTTTTCTCGAATATTAATGTAGTATCTTTTTTGTTACTCTTTGTGTTTGCAAGTTTCTTGCCAATTTACTTATGACTCAAAATGTAGATAAAATGTATATACAATGAGGTGATTCACAAGGTGTCGCACGGTGTGTAACGAGTGCGGTCAAAAATAGTGGAAGTGAAGTTGAGAAATACGGAAAAATTTGAATGCCATTCGACAGTAAGTCATCGAGTATAAACCGAACCTGTGTAAATATTTTTCCAAAATTTTGATTCACACTATTTTTTTTCGTTTTTCCACATTAAAAGTTTATAAAGTGAAATATTCATAAAGAATTAACAGCTTTTATATGCTGCTTTCAAAATGTAGCGATTCCAATTATTACCAGTTGTGCCAGTCCTGTTTGCCATTTCACCGAGAATAGTCGAACGCCAGAACAACACATGTAAAATGTGGAAATCTATTTCGAAAGTCATGGTTCAGAGTGGTCATATGCTGTTCGGTGATGAGGCCCCATGGACTTGCCAATATGCAAAATTGCCATATTTAGAGTGAACAGAATCCTCGAGAGACTCGGAACGCATTGTTACATACACAAAAACTTACTGTTAGAGGTGATTGATTTTTTCAATGAAAGCTTGTAAAACTAGCAAGAGACCAGTTGAGCCCGATTTTTGTATTTTTATTTGTTTGTTTATTAAAAATCAACGCGAACTCTTAAGGTGATTTCGTTTCTTCCAAAAAATGTTGTCTGATGTTACACTCAACCCTGTAAAGGGACATTTTTTTGCCCCTTGTCCTTCTCTGGCTCACGCATTTCATAATATTGTCGGAAACCTTCTCCCCTGAAAAAGCTTCAAAGGGCAGAGTATGTGCCTTTTTTGCCTTACAAGAGTGTGAACCGTTTGTCTTTGTTTTAGAATCGAACACGAAAAGAGAAAGGGGCAATCAAAAGGCAACATTCTTTGGTAGAAACGAAAACACCATTAGCCACTTGCAATTTGCATTTTACTAAAATGTAATGACCTATAAAACTGCATACCCAAATTTTTTCTAAAAACGAAAAAAAAAATTTTATATATAACAAATTTGAAATTTTTTTGTGAATTTCTTTTTCGTTTTCGGGGAGCTTTAAAACTGTTTTCTACTAGTTTTTATTATGTAGCATTTACTAACTGGAACAGGAGAATCGTATTTCTTCAAAATTGCTACTTTTTTGCACGTTGCACTCAAACATTTTGTATTAAATAAAATAATAATAATCAGATTGGTCCAAAAATGAAGGCTCCAGTGAATTATCACTAAATGCCAGTTTTGAACCACTATGCAGCGGTTATTAGAATGCACCTCTTGTTTTGCATAAAAAAACAGTTTATATACGTTTGTGTCTGTTTGTGTCTGTCTAATACATTACCAAGTTTCTGCAACTACTTGGAAGAGTCAGAAAATTTTTTTTTGTCGCAAACAAGAATTATTCTTGAATAAGTTAATAGCGAAAAAAAAGTTAAATAAGCCTTCTGAACTCGGACCATAAATACGAGTTTTGCAAATATCTCGACCCCTGCGCCACCTAGCGGATTAATTCATCTTCAGATTGATTCATCGGTTTCTGAGCTAAGTTTGAAATTTCTTGCTCATCGGGAAACCATACAAAACAAAAACCATACTTACAAAGCAAGTTAAATAATAGTTAAAAAATTCTGCGGCTTAAAATTTTTTTAAATTATAATTATAACTAATTAAATTTTTTAGTTTTAAAATTTATACTTTATATTATGCAAAAACTTTGTATATACATATGTATTTATTTAGTTTGAAAAATCCCAACACTTTCATTTAGACTCGAACGTCTTCACACGCCACCACGTCCGTCTTGTGTGGCAGTATCAAGGTTTAAAAAAAAATTCAGATATATTTTTCTGATCTGGCGTCCATGGAAATGGGACCTTGGCACAAAAAATTCAAAAATAGGTGTTTCAAATTTTGTAAAAGTTCATTGCATAATGTTTTCAACTCCAAAAAATATTCAAACTTTTTATTTTTTTGAGAGTCATTTTGTCCAATGAGACTAAGCTTAAAAATACCGTTACTCTGATTTCGCATCTGTTCTCGTTTTCGAGTAATTCGAATTTGTTAGGTTATGTTCGGTTAGGTTATGTTCGGCACTGGTACTATGTTCGTTGACAAGTTAGGCTTTTCATCTATCTTTTCATTACAAAAATACATAGTTTACGAGTAAACGCTTGTTTTAAGTCGCATTTTTCTGTACTGGAATTTGCATGAGCCGCATCGAAAAAAAAATTAAACCTTAACTAAAGAACTAGTTTCTCTACAAATACATAATATGTATTTATTTTAATTTTTACATTCTAGTACATTTACTACATCTGAACTTGCAAATAACTCGCATTCTTTCTCTATGAATCACAAAAGCGGAATAAATTTACATAAAGCCAAAGCTGTTATCTGCATAGTGGATTGGCTAAAGGAATAGACTTAGGGTCCCTGCTTTGTTAGCAAGCGATATTACTGCTAATTTTTATCACTAAATTTATGTATGTATGTAGATTTATATGTTTATTAATTAAATGTTTTGCATCTTATCGCAATTCAAAAGTAATATAATGACTAATACATATCAAATAATTTCAAAGAAACTGCATCAGCCATTCATCCCGCATGAACCACTCATTCATTGCCTTAGTAAACTGTGGTCGTTACATGCATGATGCGGCATGTGTCAGTCTGTGTCAAATTCTTCTCTTTACGTTCTCGGCGAGTGGTTGGAAGAGAAGCTTGGCCAAACAATTAGTAAACTTGAAAGCGCGATATATTTTGTTTTTCAGTTTAGGTTTTCCCCTTAGTGTAGTTACACGTATTAAAGTCAATTATTTAAAAAAAATTCAATTTACAATTAGTTGTGCGAGTAGAAGTGAATTTGTAATGGTATACTCATACATACATTTTTAATGACCAATAAAATTAAAACAAACATGAATCATACATGAGTATGTATGTATGTATGTATGTATGTATGTATGCACTTCTTGCGAACAATTTAACAGCAGTGTCATTTATGAATATAACGCATTAAGCGTATCATTGCCAAAAGAGAAAAAAAATGCCTATGCCTGTTACACATAAAAAAAGCGAAAGTTATGCAAAGTAATCAGTTAACTTTCATATATGTACATACATACATACATATTGTTTATGGGACGTTCCAAGTTAAGCGAATCATGTCCGCGGTAAACAAAAAATTAATTCACCGAAAAATATAGAAAGAGCGGACCTATTGAATGTTGAATGAGTCCGAGTACTTTAAAAGGTGCTGTGCATGTTAATGGAATTTAACCTGGCAATTCTACGATGCAGGCTGAAATCTATGACCTTTCATAGGGAATTCGCAAAGATTAAAGTAACCAAAAATTTAAACAATCTAAAACGTTTTCTGAGCCTAAAGTTAGATGAGACTGAGTCCATTCATTGATTTATTTCGAGTTTAAAGAGCTGCTCAAAAAAAGAAAAAAAAATCACTGAAAAATTTTCACTCGCTGGTCGTTTTACTAACCGACTTAAAAAAAGGAGGAGGTCATCAAATCGTCGAAATATTTTTTTTTCTTTTTTTATGCTTGTTATCGGATAAGTTTAAACCACGTTTACCATTTTTGATGATTCTTTCCTTATCGAAAAGGTGATACCTCAAGGGTGGTCCCATACGAATTAAGTTCCGATCATTGAATCATGAATAAACTAGCGATACTTCGATAAATTTTGATATGAGCATTGGAGTCGATAGTGTTTTTTGTTTAAAAATTACTTATTTTTTAGTGCAGTGCAGTGGAAAATTTACGTATAAAAGTAATAAATATTTTCTCGTTCCATTTTCAATAAAACATTTTAGAATTTTTAGATTCTGGTATATAAATAAAGTAAGTTTATTGGATTATTATAAGAATCCGATTTATTCGGTATCCGAAAAATCAAGATTTCAAAAAACTGCCTAAAGATATTTATAAAAGCTTGTAGAAACCGTTTTGTTTCTGGCAGATAAAAATACTTTGAAGATCACATAAAAAAAAGAATTTCAAATATTGACCTACATTTTGTTGTTGTTTTAGATGTGTGTTTGAGCATTTTCTCGATCCAATGTCTGGTTTTAAAAAGGTACAATTTTTGGTTACTTCAGTTTTTGTAAATTTTTCCAAGCCTTATTGAGTTTTGCAAATAACTGTTTGAAATATTTCAAAACGGCACTCTATCTTTTTTATTTGGCTACTTAATTTTCTGCCCTCGATCATGATCCCATTGACATGGAATGCCGCATATGTGTGCTATCTCTCACTCACTTCAATATTATTCTAACTCAAAAAAGCAAATCTCGAGATAAACGGCTTTAAATTTTTAATTTACATATATCTACTGCCGTAGTTAAAATTAATAAATACATATATTGTTCTAGTGAGATACTGGGGGTCGATAAAGCTTTGATATTTTTACACAGCATTAAAGAATTATGACACTACCCTGCAGAAAAAAAATGATCAATTGATAAAAAATAACCCAATTGTAGTTAGCTTTTTTGCGGGATTGTTATAAAATAGATAACTTGTAGTCAGCTACAAAAAGCTTACTTGAAACTAGTTGACAGGTAATGCAGGAGTAATGAAGGAGATTGTTTTCTTTAAACGCGTTTCTATTTAAATATCCTGCACTTCGCAAATACTTTTTCGAATTGACGGCAGATAAAAGGAAGATCGAAATTTCATATTATCATTTTGAAGTTATGTCTGACGGAGTTCGAATATGGGACCACCTACAGTAGAATATGTAAACAAATATGAAATGTAATAAAATAAATAAAGTAAATACAAATAAAAATATAAAAATAAAAATAAATATTTTGTTTTTCCTATTAATATTTTATGACCAAAAGTAGTTAGTTACAAGTTAGTTACATCAAATGCAGAGGTAACCACCCTTGACTACATCTAATGCAGAGGAAAACCACCCTTGACTATTTCGCGGCCATCGCCATAGAAATATAGTTAGCTTTCGTCAAAGAAAATATACAGATAATAAGTGACTTTTAGCTCCTTCCTAATCAACTTAAAGTTAGCTTATATAGTTAGATACATTTCCTGCAGGGTATTGAAGTAAATGAGCGATATGTACATATGCACATACTTGCATAAAGTTTTCGTGTGTGAGTCAGAGTTTCTTAAGTCTGCACGTGCTTTTCGTGTAACAGACATTTTTATTATTGCTTTCGTTTTTTTTTTTATAAACTTCACTAAAACGTGTGGACGATTGTTTTCTAAAATAATGTTTATTGTGTTTATGCATTTTCCGTGGTAATAAACAATTCCAAAATATTATTTGTTTTCTTTTTGCTTGAAAATGTTGAGATTTTTCTCGCTTTCCACAGCAACGTTGAAGAATTTTGGCATTATTATTCTTTGGTGGTTGATAGAGACTAAATTAATGTATTAACCTATGTGTATTTATGAGCATATATGTATACTACATACATACATATACATAGTACATATAAACATTCATTGTACCTCAATGCGTAATGAATTGTATTTTTTTAATTTCATACCTTGATGCTCTGTAACAAGGTTCAAGGTGGCCGAGAGTTTAATGTACGCACGCGGTCACACAAGGCAAAGCATAAAATATTTACTTGTTTCTGGGTTAACAATTACCGGCCGACTACGCATATTTAGCCTTAGTCTGCTTCGCTATTCGCACGCACTTTATGTCTGCTGTCTCTTCTATAGTCTGGCAGTTATTGGTTGGTTTTGGGTCTTCTAAGCAAAAATGGTTTGGGAATGAAGTATATAGGGTGTAGCTTTTGGCACAAGTAAGAAAAAAAGACTACTGGCAATACTCGCTACTTTTATTTGTATAACAAAGCTATGGAAGCAGCCTATAGTATAAAAAATGCTTACATTTACAACTAGCAAATACCCAGCGTGGCTCACTGCTTCTTAAACGTATTTGTGTGCAGTTTAATACCCGTATTCTAATATTTATTTTATCATTTTAATTGAATAAAATTTTTAAAACTGGTGGCAACCCTCCCCAAAATATTTTCGGCAGTAAAATTTCCTAAATCTCTTCAGTTTGATATCCATATTGCAATATTCCATTTATCTTATCAATTAAATTAAATTAAAATTTTCAAACAGGTGGTAACCTTAAAGAAATATTTGCGGCTGTAAGTCTTTTTTTTTAACTTCTTTCTTTTGAAAGCCATATTGCAATATTTACTTTAACTTATCAATTTACTTAAACTGAAATTTTCAAAAAGGTGGCAACTCTCACATTTTTTCTTGCTATATTTTAAGTTGGACCTCTAGAAATACATCGGTGAATATTTGCTTTCAATTCCATGTATTAGTTTTCTGTTGATGCGTGTTCAAGTATTCAGACAGACAGCCAAAAAAAATCTAAAAATTGTTGATTTGGGTCCCGTTGCTCTAATAAAGACTCTCCATATTAATTTTTCTTTAAAATCTATAAATCGATAATTGTCCTGTTAGCGTGGGCGACGGGTGACGAAGAAGATGGAATGACAAACGGTGTAAGCTTTTAAACGACTTGAACATAGTTAAGCGCATAAAAATATATATATGTTGCTGGCTTGGGCGTATTGTACGCATGGGTGACGAGACTCCAGTGAAAAGATCCCTCAACTCGGCATCCATGAATGGCGCAAAAGGATAGAGTAAATTGGCGAAGTTTTTGGTCTCAAAAGAAGAAGAAGCAGTATAAGATACCAGCATTGAAATAACCACAAAGTCACTTTAACGGTATCTAAATTTGGCAAGGCATGACCGAAATTTGTACTAAATAAATCATAAATAAAATACATCAAATTAATGAAGTTGTGATAGAAGGAAAATTCGTTTCACCAGAGGAGCTGCGATCCTACTCAGTCCAATGGAAAACGTGCATCTCGCGACAGCTTGATGTCGAAAATGTATGAGGAAGAAGCAGCTAAGAAAATTTTCTCCAACTCGCCATCCATGGGTGACAAATGAAACCAAGGACATCCACGAACACAACGGAAGGACCAAGTGCAGAAAGACCTGTATACAATTGGTACGAGTATGAAAAACTGGCGTAATTTCGCGAAAGAGAAAGGCAATATTAAATTATTTTTATAGGAAAATTTGATATAATTAGTTGATTCATTATTGTTATTAGTTTGACTCAATAAGTTTACACTTTAATATAGTATAATTAGAATTACTTTGAATTAAAATTAACATACTTAAATACTTGCATACCTATGTATATTGGGAAAGATTTACGCTGTTGCATATTCTGGGTTGCATAAGAATATGAATAACTATCAGCTCTCGGTAAATAAAAGCTATTCATTGCAAAAAATTATACACGAATACTTAGCACGATTTTTGTACTGTTAATTTGCAATACCAAGCTATTCAGCTAAAGCCTGCGATGACTTTTTCATTTTCATTTAAATTTCCTTTTTTTTTTTAGTTTAAAATTCCCTATACATGCAATTTCTTTTAAAAGTGTAATGGATACCTTCTCACTGAAAATAGTTTAACACAACTAAATTTTATACATTTTCATTTTGCTTTTATTTTTTTATTGTATAATTTTAAAAATGTATTATTCATTGATATGCTGAAATAGCAAATAATTAATTCACATCAAGTAATCGAGTGAGAGCGGAAAGCTAATGTGTATTTAATGCTGGTTGAACCCTTACACACCTACCATAGCAATAATACATATTTTCAAAGCGTATCCGTAGATGAATCCATATTTTTTGTATAAAAAAAAAAATTGTGAAATACGACAAACATAGTTAAAGCGTTCTATAGTTTTCATATTTGGCGCTGTCTGGTTGTGTGAGTTAATTTTAGGCGTAGTTTGGTAAATGGCGAAATAATTGTACTTTACTATTAAATACGTATAATTGTTCGTGTGAGTACACGCGTAAGCATTAAGATTGACTTTTAAATGAGAGCAGATATCCTCCTGATAAGGACGGAAATTTCGTGTACAACGAACATTAATGTATAAGTTTGAATGGTTTTATAGTGGAGCTTATTGCGTACAAAAGTTATAACGCACATTCCCCAGAACTTGCCTAATATATGTACCACACTTTCCATGCAAACAAAAAAATCGATACGGATTTTCTATCGGAATTATTAAGTGTATGCATGAGCTGGACGGAATAGAAAATATGTACATATAAAAGTCGAGTTTTTTATAAACAAAAATGATGTTGCTTTTTAAAAATATTTTTCCCAAAATATCACCTCGTATGATAGAAGAGTTTAAGCTAGAAGATCAAGGTCAATTTTTCTTTCTAATTTTATCAACGGAATCTACAAAATCGGGCAGGTTCTGCAATTCACTTCCGAGTGAATTTCAACCCCTGCCAATTTAAATTCAAAGCGAATTTGATTGAAATTCACTCGGAAGTGAATTGCAGAATCTGCCTGAATGAGATTCTAAGAAGTATTTGCACATCGGTCCAGCCACGTAAATCATAATATTTTGTAGGACGGCTTAAAATATAATAAATTTTATAATTCCAGTGTGAAAACCGAAACTCTTTTTTTTTGGTGAGGCCCTATAAAAGGCCCTACACACGCATTGATTTATCGGCCAACCAGTTGACCAACCTACTTAACAAAATTCCCTACAAACGCATCAACCAGTTGGCCGATTTCATTTGAGTAAGAGTTTTTGAACTGTGAACAACCAAACGGCATCGGTGAACTTTTAAGCTATGCTAGGAATGCTTCTTATTTGTTGTTGTATTTGTTATTGCTACCGCCTCCGTGTTCATAAATTATACGCATTTTCACCAGTGAAACGAACCGAAAAACATATGTCAATGTTAATGCACCTTTAAAAAAATAAAATCGAATTTCTGCCTCAAAAATCAAAAAAATTTGATTTTCTCCAACCTGACGAACAACTTGACGAAGGTTTGCCAACTTGCCTACACACGGCTTATTTACCACCAACTTCTAGCAGTTGGCCAACTGGTTGGCCGATAAATCGATCCGTGTGTAGGGTCCTTAATGTATGTATGTATGTACATACATATGTATGTGTATTTATATCCGCCTCTGCCATCCGTACGTATACGTAACACTGAACCAGCAATAAACAGTTGGAGCACTGATTGTATTTCATTTCAGTGGATTGTAAACTATTTTTTACGGTGACCAGACGCGAATCGATTTATAAAAAAAAAACATAGGTAGACTTATAAAATATTTTGTACCAGCTGCTTGTGCTTAACGATACTGTGTTTGTAATGTAAAATTTATTTCAGTGTCTAATCCATTTTTCACCTACAGGTCGCTACAAAGCTAATCTTTTCTAACCTTTTATTCCTTTTAAACTGTTTTTACCCTTTCCTTTCTATTTTTTTTTTTTTTTTTTTTTGAAATAATTAAACGAATCAAATCGCTTAAGCACTGGATGGGAAATAGAATTTAAACACATCAAGACTGACTGCCCAGGTGGCAGCAGTAGATCAGCTAATTTGCTTTTTATGTCCATTTAATTTTTAAATTGTCAATTCTTTTTACGTTTTACTCAGAAATTTCGCGCAACTTGCGCTCGTTTTTTGCTTCCTGTTCGATTTGCCTCCGAACACACTCATATTTTAGAATCATGAATATTTTCGTTTAATTTTCATTGAAATCAAGTTTTTTTTTTAATATTCCCACATGGGCAACAAGAAACTTTATTATGTAACGTCGTGTAGGCTTTGTTTCTGCTCCTCAACGGATTAAGAAAAATACTACATAATTTTCATTTTAAATTTTTAATTTCCAATCGCCACTTGTCGTGGAAATTTGACGGTGTGCAACACGTGTAACAGCTGTTTTCGTCCACACTTTTCCGCTGGCAACGCAACCTTGGGTCATATGCGCTCACAAACGTTTAATCGAAAGGTTGGCAAAGAGAGTTATGAAATTCTCACAACTTATTAATATTTTAAATCCATTGAATATATTCTTATATACTTACATATACTTACATATATACTTATACATAGCATTCTTTTTACTATTTAATATTTCTCAACACTTTAGCTCAGTTTGTTGAGTTCAGTGTCATTTGCCGAGTACCGATTCAAAACTCATCGCCTCTCGTTTTATTTTCAGATGACATTTATCCTTTAGCCACACACATGGATATCCATTTCAAATGGGCGCAACTTTGGGCTCCACCGATTATACGAAAACGCCGAAGAGCGCCACCGTCCAGATCCAGACCTCCTGGAAAGATTGACTGACTAATTGGATTAGTCATTCAGCGCAAACCCAAATGGCATTTGTTTATCACAACAAAGACAAATACAAAAACAAAGGAATCATTCTACCTGCAATTAATTTAAAAAAAATATTTATAGTATAATAAAAGTGCTAAATTAATATTTAAGAAAAAAAAACAAAAAAGTTACTGCTATATAGAAGTTTATATTTATTGACAAGTTAACAAATCGTTCTAAAAAAAAAGTGCACTTATTTTTACGATCAACATTTTATATGAACTTTTAATACGCGTTATATTTATTGAGTGTACGCTTAAGATTTACATAACTTCAATTTGGATTAGCCACTCTTTGGAGCCGCCGAGCATATTCATAATGGGAACAAAAACACAACCACAGCCACAAAAAGGTAAGTACTGAACGAGTTTCAACTTTACAAATACATATTCGAAATTTATCAAGTTATATGAACTTCGAAATGAATTGGATGCTCAGAAGTGTGTAATTTTTGCGATTTTTTTTTGTTGGGTTTATTACGCACGTATTTCCATATTAATATAAGGGGGTGTTAATGTAAATAGCCTCGTAAAATTACGAGCTTAACACAGTTTATGCGAATCCCTTTTATAATTAGTGTAATTTAGCAAGAATTTTCAGTAAAAAAAAATTAATGTTCTAGCATACTAAGCTTATAGATTATGGAACGAGAAAGACGATACCTCTGTTTGAAAACGACCAACTTATAAAATGTATTATTTAGTATTATTTTTTTTTTAATAACTCGAACGACGAGTAGGTTTTAGTGATCATAGAGTATTTGACTATGAAATTTAGAAAAAAAAATTGAATAAAAATGTCGAACGCAATTTTGAAGTTTGGCTTTAAAATCGTCATAATTTGTTTCCAAAGCACCTAGATATTTCTTCTAAAGTAAAAAACCTCTACAAAAGGCTTCACATTCTTAAATTGAAACTCGATGGAAATTTTATTGAGTTTAACTTCGGTGATCTTGGTGAAATAATTACCGAAAAAGTCAGAGCAAATGCAATAAAGTATTGAAAAAAAGGCCAAACGGGAATTTTTCACTGATTTTTATTTGTTTTAATTT